CCATATTAGAAAAATAATTACCACCGCCCAAACTATATCCCACCAAAATTAAATTCTACCCGAACATTCAAACTATTGCTTCAAATAACTACTCACAAGGAAATATCATTCCAAATCCAGCACATTCTCAATCTTTTTTCCTTCTGCTGAAACATAATAAACTAATGCATCTCGTATTTCTATCCATTTCTTTAAAGATTGTTTTTAGATCCTATTATGATGTCTTTCAAATTTGCTGCTACAATCTTCTTTCCATCTACTCGCACCCTATATAGTCGCACTTCTCGACAATCACACTTTTCCAGTCAAAAGGGATTTATTAACAAACTTTCAAATCAAATCTGGTCCCCGAGGGATGACTGTATTTCTGGTGATAGATTCTGAAATCGACTGCATGAAGTCATTTAATTCTTTATATAATTTAGCTTGGAAAAAGTCAGTAAGCCAAAAATTTGAATACAGATGATTCGTCGTCATTTAATACAAATAACAAAAAAAATTTGATACGCTTTCTGTTTCAGCGATTATTTGTTGGATAAAAATTATTATTTAGTTTATTCACGAAAATTCTCACTTCCATTATTGTTATATAACAGCCCAAATTAATAAAATGTGACAATATGTACTCCAAAATTCTTTCTATAAATTTAAGAAGTTGGTATACTTTGAGGGAATGCAAACAAATTGTTTTTATCATATTTTGCTTTTGTGGTCACCAATTTCCGATAATTAGCGCCATAATATGCGTTCTGCCAATTATTCAAATCTCTATCAATATAATTCTGATAACTATAAGGAGAAGTGTATCGACTTTGAAAGCTGTCGCCAAAAGAGTTTATATTATTGACACATTTTGTTTTTTGACTTGCATCCTGCCAATCAGACATCAATTGAATTCCGTATAATGGATCACGATGAACAAATGCCATTGCATTTGGGGCAACTCTGTTGATAGCTCCTCCATAAAGATCTAAAATCGCGTAGGTATGGCATGGAGGTGATGCTAGATAGTTATTGAGTGCGTCAATGCCGGCAGCAGAGAGGCCAGATGAATCGACGTACAAGGATTTTGCTTTGAAGATGTATGGAGTAATCGTTGGATTTTGGACGAATGATGCTGATTGACCAGAAAAGAATACAACCGAGTCGAAGAAGGTTTGCTGTTGTACGCTTACTTGATTATATCCGGATACTGCTAAAATGTCACTTAAAGCATTCGAGAGACCGGATTGTTGACCTAAATAGACACCTTGAATTAATAACCCACTATTATCCCACACTAAACTGAGTGTCACATCATCAGTTCCTTGAGTTGCGTATTTTTCAATAGCTGGGATTAAAGTTTTTGCTGCGCCTACTGGCCATTTATACTGGAATGAAGTGACTTGTGTTTGAACAGGTGTAATTTTAAATTTAAATGATGTCACAACTCCATAACTTCCACCACCAGCACCACGTAAAGCAAAGAACAAATCAGAGTTTTTGGTTGAAGACGCGGTAATTAAATCTCCATCAGCATTTACAATGTCAATTGAGAGAATGTTATCTACGGCTAAACCGAATTTACGAGAGTATAATCCATAACCACCACCTAACGCAAACCCGCTAATACCAACACCTGGACACGAGCCACCAGGAATCATGTAACCAGATTGACTGAGTGTATAGTAAATTGGACCAAGTTTACTTCCGGCACCAATTCTTGCCGTTTTTGCTGCATCATCAATTGTTATTTGATTCAGACCACCCAAATCGATTACGAGAGCTCCATCTTTTCCACCAAGTGAGTAACTCTCATACGAGTGACCTTTTATTGATGAATGAAAAAACGAGATTAGTTTTTATTAATCAATCAATTAATTTAATTGACATGTACCTCCGGATCTTGGTGCAACATTTAACTTCGAAGTTGCCGCGCATTTAACTGCTTTTTGCACGTCTGCAATGTCCGATGCATACACAAGAGCAGCTGGCGCTATCATACGAAAAAGTATATGATTAATTAATAGTTAATAACGATAGTGTATTATCAAAGATTTTCTTGATACGTACAATACGTAACACGGTTATTTTCATCAACTATATCGGCCGCATATTCAGCATCTCCCGGGAAAACGGCTTTTCCAGTGGTACCAGTCAAACATTTTTTGAGATTAGAAGGTGCTGTACTTGCTGAAGTTGTGGTGGTGGTGGTGGTGGTGGGGGATGATCCGGATCCTTGACAGGCATTGTCAGCACTAGCAGATGGATTGCATCCAGTTCCGCAGTACCCGTCACCAGCACCACACCATCCAAACTAAAAAAAAATAACGATAACGATCAAAATGTATCCAGAACATGTACGTATATCGATATCTATTCTCAGAAAATTACCTGAGAACAACATGGATTGCTACCACTACAAGTTACACCAGAATTAGAACAAATCTGGTTTCCTCTTTTTTTTAATGGGCCTCTGCGATGGGCTAAACGCGCTTCCAGATACGAGGCCTTAACATTATTATGCGACAATAGTAGTTCTCCGTATATCACCAAGAAAACGAGCAATAATTTACTCGTAGAGATTCGAGTATTCATCGTGTTCTTCTATTATTGTTATAATCAACCAAGTTTCTTCTCGATGTTATTTTGCTTTTCTTTATTAGATTTTTGAGAAACTTGAATTGATCTGTGAATAATTTGCACAAGAAACAACGAACAATTGTCGATGTTCAATTATATTTATATCAATTATTAACGTTAAACTGTCTCAAGTGGCTGTTATTGGATTTGTTATTAAGAGTACATGTAATACAAGGCTAAATTTGGATGTTCCCGGGGGGAGGGGGAAGTAATGAAAGATATTTTTTATATACTTGAGTTAAAAGAATATCGTCTCTAAAGGCAATGACTTAATTTTGGAGGCATTGTTAACGTCATGATGCCCAATCTAAAAATACGTAGTCTTAATTTCCATATGCAGTTTATTCAGTGTATGTAGAGATAATACATTTGGACGCTGTATTTTTATTTTTTAAAATAAAATGCAGGAGAGCAATATTTATATACCGATACAGCACGCAATTCGGAAATCGATACCATTTATGTTTCTTTTTATTCTCTTATTATTATTACGTACACTAAAAATGCTTAACATGTCTGGTTTAACGAAAGCGATGTGCAATGATTTCTAAACACTCGCACATAACGATAACGATAATGCATTTCTCTTTCTAGGCTTTGAACAGAATTTACGTATTACCGTTACGTACACGTATCACGTAAAATTCCGCAATCGATTCCCAAACTAAGAATAGAAAGTAGAAATTAGTAGAATCAATTTTACCTTTCTATTATTAGATATGAAAGATTAAAACTACATGTATTACCGTTACGTACATGTATAAGTCATCGCACTAAATTATGGTCATTTCATTTGTGGCTCAAAAATCACCTTATGTTTAAATTGACTAACCAATATCGATATCTTTCTTCCTTTTAAAGGAGCATCATTTATTAATGAAATGCAGGAATTTGGTTGCTAATTTTTGCAGGATTGGATTTTGTACTTGGTTATGAATCCACCAACTAAACGCGTCATTTTTTTTCTATTCCAATTCCTCTAGATACTTGTCAACTCGTTCCTTTGAGGTAAAATAAAGCTAGGATTTCTTTTTCGCATCAAAGATCCCAAAGTTGACAAGGTTTCAAATGATTATTATCGATAATTGCTTTTCGATTTCATATTCAGTACGAAGTGAATATTGGAACATGATTCCATTAACAGATTGTATATAAACAAACGGCTTACCCGAAGATTTGCAAGAATATAAAATAATTAAATAAAATATATTGTCAATGCAATGATTATTTTATAATCGAATATTTTCAGACGAAGATATTGGAGAGCATTGCCACTAGATTTACTGATCCATTCTAATAAATTAACTGGCTGTTTCGAACCAACGTGACTGTTCTAACTCTATGAAGCTCCGAACCTTAAACAGATCAAATCAATCAAACTTGACATAGTCAAATTCGATAGCTTGCCAGTTTTTGATGAATAATAAAGAGCTTTGCAAATGTTTTTGATCAGTGTGTTCGATAAATAACGTAGTCGGATCTATCGTAATCCACTTTGTGCTTTCATCATGAGTTGCAATGTTTCAGCTGTATTTATATGAAAATGTCCTTGAAATAAGGTTCTTTGAATCGAATGGTGGCCAGATTCAAAGAACATTTGGTGATTGTTTCTTATTGTAACTTCGTAGATTTTTAGTTCCTTGAGTGTTCAAATAATTTTTGGGATGAATTCCTGGTCAAAATTAAAATTAATATTTAAAGAAGCCGATTCGGTTAATAAAAGTCTGGACAAGGAACTGCCAATGCTTTGCGTAGGTTCGATTGTTTGATACTAAGATAATAATATGAGTTTTGCTTTAACGTCGCTTACAAGGATTGGCGTAAAAATGAGGCATAATTAAACGTTGGTTGTATAGACTCTGGTCGACTAATACTCCCATGTTTCTTCCGAGAAACTTCAACTTAAACCCTTGTAATAATTTTATAATTTTCAAAGAGACGCCTCCCAAAATCATGGTACAATTTTTTGACAAAATTTTGTCGATTGACCACAGACGATGATGCTTAGAATTCTTGACGAATTTCCGTGGGTAATAATTGGAATATTTGAACTAATTTCCATTTTTCTAAATTAGAAAAAATATCGATATTTTTGATATTTGCGTACAGAACACTATTTTAGATTCAGTGATATAAGTCATTTACATTGTGTGGGAATAAATATGATATCAATACGCAAATAGTGTGAAAATATCGTTTATTGTATTTTCTTTCTCTTTATTATCACCTGTTGATAACGGAAGAAACACATCCTCAGTTTCAAGCAGATATGAAAATAAGGCATATACTCGATTATTTATTGGTTTTTTTATGTGTAAAGCGAGCTCATATATAAATATGTACGAGAGGAGAGAAAAAGCTTTGTTTTGAAACTAGTAATGACTGTTTTGAATATAATAACAAATAATATAGAGCTCAATGAAAAGAATGAGAATTTAGTATATACAGTGAAACCGCTTTAAGTGCCCCCCCCCCCCCCCCTCGGGACCATAGAAAAAAACAGGCAGAATGTGCACGTGCTTTTATAGAGAGTAAAATACATATATGTCTTATAACTTGTAACCAAACCATGATTTATATATTGCGTGCATGCATTTATAAAGGGTGCACTTAGAGAGGTTTCACTGTATTATTATTCAATAATGTTATAGTCGTCTTTATATTAATAATATTATCTTTATAGAACTCTCGTGAGAACGAAAATCCGACTAATGACAAGATTGATGGCCTGCTGAACAAGATAAATGAATTAAATTTAGGGACTACTACTGTAAACTTTTTTTGTACTGTCGTTTTCTTATTTAAAACAGTACTATCACTATAATAAAAAGGTTATTTTCATTACTAGAATGAAGAAATACATTTCCATTATCAAGATATAAACAAAAAAGAATCCAAAGAGAATGACTCAAAGAAAAAGGTATATTGATTTTTTTAAGTTATTTGATTTCCCATCAGAAAAATTGATAAATTGTCTTAATTTATAATCAGACTTCATCGGTTGAAGATTCCCAGCGATATTTTCCTCTTCATGTAAGTGAAAGAAATTTTTATCCCATATTACTCCTTAGAAATGACCTAATTTGCCCAATTCCAATCATTTAAGGTATCATCGCCGTCAATTGAGAGTGAATGTGAATTCACACAGAATGTAAGTCAAATTATTGCAACACTTTTAAATTTATAAAAACTTTCCTTTTAAATATTAATATTCCT